TACTCCAATCAGGATTTTTAGACATTTATTCAGGGCCTGAATTTCATTTTTGAAAATGGGGGGAATTCCCCTCTTAGGGGACTCTTGTGAGAGGGGAAGCAGCACAGACTGTGCTTTCACACAGGAATCCTCTACTGATCGGTGGCTGTTTACCACAAACACAACATTTATCCATTATTTTGATTTCAAATTTAAACATTGTCACTGAAAATGCTTTTTCAGCATTGCAATTATTTTCTTTTACACAGTACAGTAATACAGTCTTTCACAGACATGATTAAACACAATAAATATAAGCAACACATTATTCAATGCTTTTTACTTTTGCATTTACTTATAGATTTATAAATTAAGTTGCTCCGTCATCAGCTTGAGATCGTTTTTTTTGAGATCGGCCTTTTTAGAGACTGCCAATCAATCATCCCAATGTGATTATCGGCCGATCAATCGGAGCACCCCTAATTATAAGCGTTTTTTGACTTGTTTTTCCACTTAATTTGACACTTTAGAAAGTTAATAAAGTAGGAAGTTGCGGTTTAGGATCAGCGATAACTTTATCTTAAATAATTTCGGTTTATTTTTTATTATTTATAGGTTTTTGTTTATTTTAATAGCAATATCTGGCAACATTGCATCGCCGGCACTTAAACTGGCAGTAATCAAAAAAGTCCATGGACAGGTTATTGCTGACAACAAGATTCGGTAAGGGAAATGCAAAAAAAAAAAAAAAAATCATGATATTATCTGTCAGAAACGTTATCAATGCTTTCAAAATCTGTAGCATTTAACACTAGTGCACAGATCTGTAGAACAATTAGGTTACAGAATGAAATGAAATATGCAAACACTAGCCATGAAGAAGTCTATGCTAAGTTATTCAGTATAGTAGTTAAATTTTCACAAGTCATGCTATATAAACATTCATAAGAGCACTAGACAAAGTTATCAGCTATATAATGGTTATAAATAAAAACTTTAACAGCAATATGTATGGTTGCATGAATAATAAATAACTGATACAATTATCCAACCCAAAAATATTGTAAAGTATTAACAAATTTTGATGCAGTAAATAGGGTGTGATTTAAAAATGATCGTCCCTCCAAAACAGAGAAAGCATCTTTCACAAACATCTACATTTCTGTCTCTTTTAAAGTGTTAATGGCTGTCATTACTTGTTTTCATGACAGAATTATTCAAACTTACATTAAATATTGAAGAAAATGTTTAAATGGTGGCTGTCATTACTTGTTTCCATGACAGAATTATTCAAACTTGCATTAAATATTGAAGAAAATGTTAAGTAAAAATATATAAGTAAGAAAAAAATCAAGAGTGTGTAATACAGTACATATTTTTAGCAAAATGCTCCCCTTTAGTGTTCATTTTTCTAGGTAACGGTCAAGCTGTGGTCATTAAATGGCTTTGTTAATGTAAATGTAACACTACGTAACATTGTTTTATTGATGTCTTTCTGCGGTTGAAATACTGAGCAATTACCTGAGACCTGTACTGTTTCTTTCAACATGCCCTCTGATGTTCAGTCATGTTTATTTTGTGCTATAACTAGTAGTAAAGAGGAAAAGAGGATCTGTTCACATTCCGCTTGAACTGAAGAATCTACAGCAATGTAACGCCACATTAAAGAGCACCAAAACGATGTTTGTTGTTTAAATTTCATAATAACATTGATAGATTTTGAAAGAAGACTTTTTGATATCAAAAGTAACAAAGCACAAAGCTTGTTGCGATTTATACCTACATATCTTAGCCCTATTAATCAGCATAAATATTTGAAGTTTAAGACTGCATTTTGAGAAAACTGCACTTCTGAATGGTGTGCAGCAGTCATTTTCATTTGGGAATGACGAGAGGGGAATGAGTTAGCCATATGGGAAAGGAATAGCATGATTAATTTTGGGCTTGAAGTAATGAAAGTGATCTGCAGTGTTGCCCAGATTGACCTCACTCCCAACGGCGAATCTGAGCTGTTTGACTTTGCAGGGGCGGCACACCTATGTAGAAAACACAGTGCGATTCAAAAGCAAGTGTTTGGAAACAGGATCTAGCCTTTGAGGAGGAATCGGTTGCTTGGGGTTTGGTGGGTTGCCAGTGTTGAATTTGAATAATGCAATTGTTGTCCTCTGTCTCCGCAGAATAAAGGGAAAGATCCACGAAACCAACCTCACCTATGAAGACTTCCCGACATCCAAATACATGGGGCCACTACAATATACCATATGGAAGTCTCTTTTTCTGGATATATCACCAGGTAATGTGTCAGAACTGTAGAATTGCATTTTAAATAGTGGCTATGTGTCACTGAGAAAACAACTGCAAATACAAGATGCATCCCTTTAAAAAAAAAAAAAAAGTTACGCTACAAATTGAGTTTTTCACTGTTCTGAATGCTTATACCTGGAAATTAAGCTCATGCTAATGTAATCTGCACAAATACACTAGATCAAGTTTTCCCAAACAGGATTTACAAAGGATCTGCGATGGTTTTGTGAGATTCCTGTGTGAATCCTCTAGTATGTTTGTTTGTGTTTAGCAAATACTTCCCAGCATCTCAACATTAGCATGTGCTTATATTCCAGGCATAAGCATTCAGAACAGTGAAAAATCAATTTTGTGGCATTTGCCAAGGCAAGTGTTACTATTGCTCTATTTGAGGTTCAGCCAAGCGCACACTACAGGACTGAAGCTCGTTGCCCTTTCTATTGAGTGCAGACACTAATTTCAATCTTGTTTGCGGTCATGTTGGAGCTCATTTTACATCATTAATTATAGACTAGTTGGGTCAAGATTATGGTCGCTTAGTTTCATCCAAGAAACTTTTACATTTGCACAGAGCCATTAGCTTCTGTCTTGTAGTTTGCAGTTGGACTGAGATATTCGAAAAACCCAACACTATTTGTTCTGCAGACGTGAATAATACCTCACATCATGTGGCTTATTGAGGGGAGGTGTGTTAATATTTGTCTAAGAGATCAGACCAGTGTTATTGTACTATTATTTATATTATAATTTAAAATGTTATATTTTAAATTGCCTTTATTTTTTTCATGTTTATATTTTTCGTATATTTGTTATTCCTTTTATTTTAGATTTTATTTATTTTTATTTTATTTTTATTAGTTATGTAGTAACTTGTTTCAGTTATTTGCCAATGCAACATTTCTAACTTTCATTTAATTTTTCATATAATATTTGTATTTTATTTAATTTTAGCTATTTGTCTTTTTGTTTTTGTTGTTTGTTTGTTTCACCATTTAACATTGTTAAAAATAGTATTAGTTTTAGTTAACAGTAATAACCCTGGATCAGATTGACTGTTTTTGATTGGTGGTACATAGAGAGGCCAAAAAAAAAAACCCATAGACTTGCATTGAAGAAGAACCTGGATTTAGAGAACAGTATATCAAACCACCTAAGAACTACCCAGAACACCAAAGCAACCACTCAGGACACTTTAGCAACTGAACAGCTTCAACCTAGCATTGTGGTAGCGAGTTTTAAGCACTGCTCATTTATGTCCAGAAAGAAAGAGCATCTCATTGAATAGCCTGTTGTTATTTATGTATCAGTTGTACTATTAATATAGAAATCATGTCCAAAGATCTAATACTAATCATTGTGTATGTATTAATGCTTCCAATTAGAGATGATCTAATCAACACAAACACAACCTCTGTGTTTACAGCCCTGTGAATGAGATAATGCACGTCTGATTGAGCTCTGCACGAGTGGCCCATTTTAATAGCTGCAGTGAGAAGCGCTGAAGGCCTCCTCCATCTGTATTCCCCCTCAGTAGCCACCTGAGGCAGAGCATTATTTAAAATAACACAGCAGGGAATATCTCGCTCTCTCAATCATTTCTCCAATTTACCAGCATCCTTTACACCGACAGAAATAGGCAGGGGCCGACGCTCGGCCTGTCACATGAAACAAATCCAGTTCAAATCCTTCCTTCCACACTGCTGCACTCACCGCCTTTTATTCTGAACTGGCATGGCGTTTTTTGAATTTCGCATAGACATTTCCAATATCCAATTTTTTTTTTCCTGTCAACCTGAACAGAAATATTTTTGCCACTTTCTGAATCCAAAGCCTGTTAGTGAGCCTATAAATATTGAAAGTTTTATACACAGTCCTATAAAGTCCTATAAAATTATATTATTGTAATTTAGTCTAAAAAGTTTATGTATGTTTTATTTTTTTACCCTTTGAAACATATCCATAATTTATGTATTTATTATTTTATATATGTATTGTACATACAATAATTATTATTAATAATTCGATTTTTTATATTTGAGTTTTTAGTTTTAGTTTTTGTAGATTTATTAATGTTTATTTTATATATATA